CAGCTGGCTCCTCTCGATGTGGAGGAGCAGCGGTTCTACTCTGAGCTCCTCCCGGGTGACCGAGCTCCTCACCCTATCTCTTAGAGATCACACCATCTCATTAGTCAATATTAAATAATAAAATCCTGAAAGCGATTAAATTAAACACACCAGAACTAAACTGACAAACATCAGCAGTTTGAAGCATTAGCACAATGGTAAATGGATGTTAACGAAGTTTTTTTGCCAGTCAGTTTTTCTTACCAGGCACTCCAGGAGGCGTGCAGGTCGAGCGATGATGATCATCAGCTTCTTGACAAGTTGTGTGACGAAGGTAACCTCCATGCTCTCTGAACGCTCATGAGCCTGTTCACAGACAGCAAAACAGCAGGAGCAGGTTAGCTTAGGGGCACGAGGCAACATTATACCTTATTTTCAAATGTGAGAAATCTGTCAAGACAAAAATGGTTCTTAGAAAAATACTGAAGAGGTTTTAATGCTCCTACATTAAAAACACAGTCTGTGGGAGAGGACTGGTCCTCATGGTAATAATCATTGCTTAATTACATTTAAAATAATTCATCATGCTGGATGTTTACATGACCTTGGAGCTGTATAGAAAAAGCCTTGTGCATTGTGTTTGTCCTTCACAAAAAGGCAGAACAAGCAGTTTGAGGACGAGAGGACGGAGGACTCCCTCCTTCAGCAGCACCTGAGAGATAATCTAAATCAGAGCGACCTCCGCCTCGCTCCCTGGTATCCACCGTGAAATGTCTGTCAGCGTGGAAACACAGCAATTTACCCAGCATTCCACTGTAACTGACTGCAGACGCATCTGGACGCAGATGGAAATGGAATGGAAGTGTGTGTGTGTGTGGATGGGTGCAAAGTGGAACAATTCCCAACCACCCACTGTAACCCGTGTTTAATTCTCGGGGGGTTTAATTTGTGTGTGCACGTACTTATGAATGCAGTATGTATGTATTTACAATGCATGTGCCTAACAGAGAGGCGGCGGCCGGTCGCTACAGTTTGTCTAACAGAGCTGTGGCGACAGACGCCGGAGGCCCTGGGGCCTGGACCCCCTCTGAATTATTTATAACTGTAATGAAACCTGGGGGGTAAGTGTGAAGGAGACTGAATGTGTGAGGTGAGTGTACAGGCCAGTGATCGGTGAGTAATAGACAGCTGAGGGACGGACTCCCAGCATGCTGCAGCTAATTAACCAGTCAGACACAGACCAGACCAGCTGATGTGAAAGACATTACAGTGTGGCTACACGGTATACACAGTGTGCTTGGATGCATCTGTGTACCATACGATTTGATCTATACATTTTAATTGATCACAAATACAATTCAGTGACAAATGAGGAGAACTGTACATTGGAGTTCAGTGTTCTGACATAAATAACTGTTGGAGCGAGCGTTCGCCTTATTTAGACAAAAGAATCCGTAAGCAGGTAAAGTAGAATTTCAAATGAATTAGTCATTTATAACAGGTTATTTAAACAATCAATAAGTAATGTACTGCTCATAAAACATGCTTTTTTGTGTTGTATATCCGTATAGTCTAGAATAATTATGATTTTTTAAAAGCTGTATTTAATACATCTGACTCTTTTTTCCTCTCAGCTTTGTTTATTGTTATTACTATTTTAATTTCCAGTAAGGTTTACTGTTAAAGAACAGGTCTGGCTAAAAGCTTTTTAGCAATAAAATATAAGGCACCCTTATGAAAATGTAGCATGGCTTCTGAAACTACCAGAGACAAAGTGGGCTTTATATTTTCTATAATTCAGGGAAATGATTACAGCAGAGCAGGTTTTCATCGTCTACTCAGTATAACATCTGCTGCCTGGGTTATGTCACTGGACAGGGGCCATGTGGACGTCCATGAAATTCCTTTGCACGTACTGAAGGTACAAATGAATGGACAGAAGTGACGTCATCACACGTATGATACAGGACTCATCACCTCCTCTGGATGGGTGCCGTTTCCATCTGAAAGCCTATTCACACCATATATTTGCCAAAGGATCAGAGAGAACAGTGACAGGCCACCGTAGCCGAGTTAGCGCTCCGTCTCTGCCCTCGAGTAACCACCGGGAGTCTAACAGGGTCTCCCAGGTGGGCCCAGTAGAGGATGGGCTGGATGCAGGTCGCCATGGTGACCGCCAGGCAGGTCACTAAGGGCCCATGACAGAGATGGATGAGTGAGGATGACCGGTGGAGGTGGAGAGAGGGAAAGGTGAAGGAAAGATAAAAGTCAAGGCCAGAATCAGAGGAGGATGGAAGGAGGAGAGGAGAGTCGGCCTCCTGTGGGTTCTGTAATGGGGTCATGACACGAGGAGAGGAACGAACGAGGGATGACTAAAGAAGTGGATAAGCAAGGAGGACAAAGGCAAAGGGCCGAGAGTTATCAAGGCCACAGAGTGGACTAACAAAGGGGGGGGAATGGTTTTATACAAAGCTGCAAATATGATGACTGTTACACAACACACAAACTGTAAAAGCTTAATTTCTCAAATACAAAGCACCAAAGTTTTCATCTTGGCCCATCTTGGCAGTTTGAACACAGCAAAGAAAAAATGCAGACTTCCACTTCCTGTTTCTTTGTGGAATTACAGTTAAAGGGACAATTTACCCAAATCACTGACACTGTATTTTGACAGTTTTCAGGAGGACAAGTCGCTGCAGAGTTTAGAAAACATCACTGTTTCATGTCATGTAACGACATTTACCATAAGATGATACACATTTGTCAAGAGATCTTTCTGTGCTGTTCATGCCAAGATACAATTATTTCTGAATGGCCAAAAAATTTCGAGAACATTTACTATATCCCAATATTTACTGATATCACAGTATAAAGGTAAACATACTGTGTAGCAACTGCTCTGTCTGTCTGAACATTATCACCTTGAGGAAGGAGGATTTACTGCAGGTCTGTTGGATCAGACCGACTTAGTTCGACACGGCTGCTCCTAATAAACTGAGTGTAAAATGCGACTTCTTATGAAACAGCACCAAAGCTCATACATTTCAGTCTGTCCTCGAGTCTAATGAAACTGCTTTCGTCACCATCAGTGTAACACGTTTCAGCGTGCTAATGAAGCTTGACCGAACCAAACTTAATTTGACTCAACTGCAAAGTCTGCATCTGCCTCCTGCTCCTCCTCCCAGCTGTGAGTGAACACCGTCCACTCGCTCCTCCTCATCACCTCCTCCAGTGCCTCCTCCTCCTCCTCCAGCCTCCTCTGCCACGAGATGCGAGACATGTCTCTCGTCCAAAACAACAAAACCACAAAATCGATGAAGGACTTCCATACACGGTGCAGGGAGGGAGGCTGCTTTCACACCTCCTTCCACCTGCTCACGGCTTTAACTCTTCTCTTGTCTGTAGCTCTGCTCCACCTGCTGCCGCACTCGGTCGCCCGCCAAATAAAAAAAACAGACCGGTGCTGCCTAATTGCTGATGTCATCATCCACCCGCATTGCAGCTCTGGCGTCTGAAGCTTCTCCAGATGTGTTTGAGTTCCTCACACCCTCCAAAAGCATTCGAACAGGCTCCATCCATGTACATCCACCTCCCCCTCTACGCGCCCTTGGCCAATCAGAAGCTGAGGAACACCCTGGACCCGCCCATCCCAAAACACTCTGAATGCACCTCCTTCACCCCTCCTGTTCATCTGGGAGAGTCATCTGTCGGCCCCCAGTGACTGCTGGAGTGTGAAATTAAAATAGGGAAGATGTGTGTGTGTGTAACCGCCTATATATAGGTGTGTCTATGATTGAGAACTAGTTTGTGTGTGTGTGAGTGTGTGTCCCAGCAGAACAGAAGGTCAATAATAGGCCAGTAAGAGCCATAATGTCACCCCGCAGGCACTGCCAAACTGAGCTAATAGACAAGTCACCACTGCCACACACATGTAATTATGTTTCTGTTTTCACACAAATTTGCACAAAAATACACAAAAACAGTCAGAATCGGTCATATCCTCCAGTGCTATGATAAGCAAACCAGAGCTGTTTGTCAGTAATAAACAAACAGCAGGTGTGTGTCTGTGTATGTGTGAAGGAATGCGTGCGCGCCGAGGCAGGTCTTATGTGCTGGGAGCCACAGTCTTTGTGCCTCACATGGCGGCTGTGACCACGATGGGTGAGCGAAGGAGAGAGTCACGCCCTGGCAAACCGAGCGGAACTGGGAAGGCGCCATGATGTCTTCATCACCAGTCACAGCAGATGCTCTGACAAAATGGAAATGCTTTATATTTGGGGTCTTGAAAATCCTAATAATATTCTATGGAGGTTGGTCCATATTACAGGATAAAAAAATAAGTTTTGAGGCATTAATTATGGTGAATTAACGGTGTTGTACTTATGAGGAGCTGTCCCATGTAAAACTAAGTAAATACTGTTATATTGGCTCCTGACCATCTGAACTAACCTGCACACAAATTCTGTGTGTGAAGTTTCTGCTTTGTATTGCAGATGTGAGCATTAGTCACATCACAACACACCTGTCAATACAAACAGATGCTGACTCACTAGCAGCTGACATATCAATTTACTGCTCACTGTCATCAAATCTATTATGTATGGAATAAAAAACAAAGGAGGGATTTTGGATAAAGCACAGGTGTGACTAATTATTATTAATGGTTGCATTCCCATCAGGTTCGTTAGTCAAAATGTGAAAGTATGACAAAGACCCATAATGAGACAGATATGATCCGAAAAAATAAGAGCGGCATGATATGATATATGATATAACATGATATATGATATGATGTGATATATTTATGTAAACCAAGAACTTCTTTTGAATATTAACAGGCTTTATTATTAACTAGACGTTCTCCTCCATGAGTATTTCTTTTAAGCATGCCTGATGTGAATCACTCTCAGTGCCCCTTGTGCTGAAACGCTGCTATAGAACTAGGTCTGCCTTACGAGAACACATTGACTTTTTACTGTTCTGCTCTTCACTTTTATGACAAACAATATACTTTTACACTTGTGAAAATGCACCAGGAGCACAAACTGTAAGTGAATCCATATCTTACAAACAGGACGGTGTCAGATGATCTTTTATACTTTTAAGAGATGCTTTGGTTCGTAAGAGAACGATTAGCCTGGAAGTAAAAGTGGCTTTTTGCAGTGAATAAACTGTAAGCGACTTACATCCTGCAGCAGCTTCTCCAGGTTCTCCTGCAGCTCGTAGAAGTAGCGGGAGGTGATGAGGCCCTCTCTGCTTTTCTCCAGGCAGTCTCTGGACAGCTCTATCAGCTGATGGTAGATGAAGCTCAGGACCCCGTCAGCCAGCGGGCAGACCTTCTCCGGGGCTGAGGACGAGAGCAGCTCGGCCAGTCGCTCCTCCATCTGAGCTGTCGCCTAAGGGGAGGGAAGCAGAGGGGTCCAGGGTGGAGGCCAAATGGGGTTGGGGATGAGTCACCTGATAGATATACACAACTAGACATATGTGACCATGTGTCATATTTTTGGCTAAATCCCTTCAAACTACTTCCGGACAAAACACTCCATGATAAACTAAGCATCCTGATAGACTTCACCATAATTACATCTTCCTATTTCACTACTATGCATTGTTCTCTCTCTTCCCTGTGCTACTGTGGCGTATATTTGTCTGTACAGGAAGTGTGTGTGTATGTGTACACAGTACAAACCTTGGGGAACCTCTCCTTGTACACATGGTTCATCATTACAATCTCATGGTCAAAGGAGACAGGCGAGCGCCCGGGGCTGGAACCAGAGACAAACATCATTTATTTTGTTGTTTTGATTCTAAGGTTTGGGGGGTGGGCAGCTCAAACAAAGACAGACTCTATTACTAAGGCACTGTGGACCAAAATATACATAAATATTTTGCTTTCTTTCTTGTGAGACACGGTGTTGTCTTCAGGCAGCTCCAGTCCTGTTTACCTGCTCAGCTATCAACACTACTGGTCCTCTGTCTTCATGCTCACATAGAAGGAAAAGTCTGGAAGATGTTAAGGAGGCTCACTGCTGAAATGCATGAAGCCGTTTTGAAGCCATTGCTGAACCACCTACAGGTGTCAGTATATAACTATGTCCTGGCTGATTTCCAGGTGTGAAATCTATAGATCAGTCTAATTTTTACTTTCTGGAGGTTAAGAAAAACACTGAGAGCCAAACATGTGTGGTTCCACAACAACCCTGCAAATCTGCAGGTGAAAACCAGGAATGAAAGCAGGGTGGTGTCACACACACTAACAGGACCTTGGGGTTGTCATCATACAGTATGTGTGTCTGCAGTGGTGCAAACTGAAGACCATGACAACCTCTGCACTCACCAGCCTGGACACACAAAACGCACAAAGGTAACGCCTCTGGAGACCTGCAGACCAATAGGCAGAGTGTGTGTATGTGTGTGTGTGTGTGTATAGTCATGAGTAATAGAGGCTGTCCACTACTCAGCCGAGAGTCAGCTCTCAGGGGGCATCATGACCTGACAGACTGACAGTGACGTCTCCTTCAGTCCATAGCAGCTCCAGCAGAATATAAATCCACCCTTCTCTCAGTGGACTGTCTCTCCACCGACCCCCCCGGGACTCATCTCTTTTCTGATTCTATCATGAACCGGAAGCCCCCCCCCACACAGTAAGACAAACCAACGACAGCAGCCATCTCCTTGACCTCTCTGTCTCACTTTCAGGAGGACAGGCACTGATGACAGGCAGAGTGTGTGTGTGTGTGTGTGTGTGTGTGTACACAAGTCATGGTGGAGAAATTTCATTCCAAGCAATTTTAGGCTTTGTTAGCCTGTTGTATTATTCATTCCATTCACATTTCACTTTCATTTGCTGTGCAGGAAAATCATTTCCTCATTTTGACTCTTTTCACTTTAAACATCTTCAAACATCATGTTTAGAAGTTTAAAAAGAACTGCATAACCCACATAAAATAAAATAACTGTTCATTTGAATGGTGAATGTGAAATCAAACTAAGACAAAGCATTTTTTCAATAACAATTTGATTAAAAATTCCATCATAACAAAAAGAATCTGTAGAACAAAGTGTCTACAAAGTAAAATGATGAGTACAGAACAACATTCCAGGAGAGACTTTTACAACCTGAGGGGAAAGTAGGTGAAGTCAAATACAGACTGGGGGCTCCAGATGTCTTTGTTTGTATGAGTCATCGGGACACACACGCACACACACACACACACACACACACACACACACACACACGTGACCTGTGTGATGAGGTAATGCGTTAAGTCATCTATCAGCAACTCAAAGCCCAATTATCAGCTTAATAGGAACGAGAACAGCTTGAATGTGACATATGAGCTAAACGTCACGGGGGCCGTTTATCATTATGCCAAGACACAGTCATAGTCACACACACGCGCGCACACGCACACACACACACACACACACACACACACACACACACAGATGTGTCCATTATTCTTTTGTTTTAACCTGTTCCTTCATTTTGTCCGTCTCTAACTACAGTACGCTCTGCAGGATTAACGGTAACTATCATTGTCAGGATTGTGTGGTTGGTCTGAAGTTCACACAGATGAGTCCTGCTTTGTTTAAAAGGTCAGTTCCCTCAAATTGCTTAACAACGTTCTAATTTAATTTTCTTAATTGTGAGTAAATGATGTATCTTACATACGTTTAGGCCTGTGTGTTCGATGTGTCGTGGCTGCAGGACGAATGTCCTCTCACTAAAGTGAACTGTTACTACTCTGATTTTGATCTGTATTAAACTACTGTTAATGGAGCTTTTCACTTACTGCACATCCCGTCCTCCAGCAGCGGCAGGCTTTTATTATGAAACATCTGCAGGAAGGAGTTTCAATGACAACAGAGACTGAAAGAAGGCTGTAGAATCAGTAAAATAAAAACTTTTCAGACTAAGCAGCACTGGAAAATGGTTTATTTTTAAACTAGGTGAACTGACCCTTTAACCAAAGCGAGACACACAGTCAGCCATCACTGATGTGCGTCAATCACCTGCAGCTCTGACACGCTCCCCTTTAAAGCTCTCTTTTCATGTCACGTTTCATGAAAGAGAGAAATCAATCCAAAGCTGGCTGGCTCTGTCACTGGGCTCAGTGAGCAAAGGTTGGCCTTGACAAGGATGGATTCAGTGCCACAGGCTGTTCATTCTTTCATTTTCAGACTCTCTTCTTTCTCCCTCTGCTGTTCTTCTTGTCTATTCGCGGCTCTGAGCAGCCTGGGCCTTTATTAAAATACAGCTCCTGTTCAGGTCGGAGGAACATCCCTTGGATGAAGAACACAAGAAGTCAAAGGCTAATTAAAACTGTTATATTTCTGCTGTAATGGGAAATAAAAATCGCCCCGTAGCAATCCCTGAGAAAACATCTTCGTCATTATCAAGGAAAACGGCCTTGGAAATGGGAAAGCTGTGGAAGAGTTGTTCTGATTTTCGTTCAAAAGTTAGAAAGACAGAAAATATTTATGGGATGGAATATTAGATCAGTGTGTTCCAACCCCTGGGTGTTTTATAAAGCTGGATAATTAAAATATTGGCAGTAGGCTGTTTTCTTTCTTTTCAGCTAAGTGATGATGTCACATTCGACCACAGGCACTCAAAATGCAAACGAGCTTATTGGTAGAGAGGGTAATTGAAGTAAATCAGACGAGACAGTGAATCAGACGGTGATGGGGGTGGGCAGAGAGGAGGAAAGGGGAGAGATGGTGCATGTGTGTGTGTGTGTGTGTGTGAGAGAGAGAGAGAGAGAGAGAGAGAGAGAGAGAGAGAGAGAGAGAGAGAGAGAGAGATATAACATTGATGCTTCGCAATGGGGGCAGGTGACTCGGGAAATGAGAGGCCTAATTGGCCGTGACAGAGAGGCGGCCAGAGCAGAGGTGAGGCGCTGAGGATGAGGCGTATGTGTGCGTAACGCCTCAGCATCCTGTAATGAGATCCACCATTCCACTGAAAACCATAAAGGACTGGACAGAAGGAAGATACCTTTGTAAAATTTGGCGAAGGTTTTGCCCTGTGAATTCTAACGTAGAAGAAGCAGAGATAAACCTTCGTGACCGTTAGCTTCAGGCCTTAGTCCAGTATGTCGGCCTCCCTGTTTTCTGATCTGCTCCTGTTTCAACTCAACACTTCCTCTGTTTACCTGTTGTCTTAACACAGCAGAATATCCACAGCACTACTTCCAGCAGTACAACAGCCTACCTTGTTACAGTACCACACTACTGATCTGTTTTTGGTACAGTAAAGGTCGGGCAGGAAATGAGGAGGCTGTATGACAATATCTGTGCAGAAAGCATGACGCTCCACTAACTCTGCCGCCACAGTGTGTGAAGTATCAGCTTCTTTGCCTCCTGAAGTAAGTCAGGAAAGAAGCATCACAGTGTCTGGGTCCTGAAAGTCCTGAATTACATGCAGTTATTTATTATACTATGAATGTTTTTATGATTATTTTGCAAAACAAGAACAATTAAGGCAGTTAAGTGTCAAGGAGCGACAATTACCGTGATAAGAAAATGGCTCCTGTTTCCATGGCGGGGGACATTTTATTATGGGGGCGGCTGTGGCTCAGGAGGTAGAGCGGGTCGTTTCCTAACCGGAGGATTAGCGGTTCGATTCCCGGCTTGTCCAGTCAACATGTCAAGGTGTCCTTGAGCAAGACACTGAACCCCCAGTTGCTCCCGGTGATGTTACCGGTGTGTGAATGCGTGAGTGCTTGGGAGTGCGAATGGGTGAATGGCCGAATAATGTGAAAGCGCTTTGAGTGTGCTGTAAAAGCATAGAAAGGTATAAGACCATTTACCATTATGTAAAATATGACGCAGAAAATGTTTACTTCATATATATATATCATATACTGTAATACTGTACTGTATGTAAATGTGGTGTGAGCAGTACTGCGTGTGCTATCTGGAGTTTTCCAGCCGTAAAGCCAATGAGGTGTGTGTACATAGAGACCATCAGTCAACTGATTCACACACTGTGACACGGATGGATGAGCCCCAGCGTCCCCCGCCCCCCTACACACTTATGGAGCTGGTGGACATAGTGACAGAGGGAACTGGTCACTGTAGTGCAGAGAGCAGAGCGGCTAAGAAAAGACCACAGAGGCAAAAAATGGGAGAAGAATGAGTTGAACAAGGAATAAAAAATTAGAGATGAACAAAGAGACTGTGAGTGTCATCCCTCGTGGCAGCGTTGGAAAATTAGCATATAATTGTATTCTGCACCTCGTTTTCATTTGCTCTCAGACACATCTCCCACTCCTCCTGGGTCTAATCATCATTATCATCATCTCTCCTCTCACTGCTCCCTATTGTCTGCCCCATCCTCCACTCCTCTTCAGATCTCTGGTCTTTCTTTTCCCCCACAGTCTGAACTTTGTCTCTCCGCAGCGTTCTCTTGGTTATATATTTGCACTATATCTGTGGCCGCAGCCACAACACTTATCAAAGTCACCTCCATGTAAAATAACTCGCTCAGTCTCCTTTGTTTCTATAACGACATCCCTTTGGTTTTGTCGGCTTTTAAAAATCTCTGATAAAAGCTGGAAGGTTTTATAACATTTCACTGTTGATGTTTTTATTTTTCATTTTTACCTTTTCATGATTTCTTTTTCTAGAGAGACTGAGGATATATAAGGACACAGGTGACGGCAGATTACCTGAGAGGGCACAGCTCTACACACACAAAGCCTGATATCAATCAACAAACACAGCAGCACGCTAACCAGAGACACACAAAGCAGCTCTTTCTTCTCAGAGGATGAAGGAATTCAATATCTCTCTGTAAAGCAGTAGAAATAAATCTTCAGAGCAAAGAGATGGACATGAGAGCCCGAGTGTGGGAGAAGGGGATGAAAAGGCTGAAATCTAAAGGCAGCACTTGGCAGGTAAAAACAGAGATAAAGATAGAAGACATGAGGAGATGGAGAAAGGTGGACAGGGGAGTGTCACTGATATAAACGGTGGGAATTTCATACTCGCTGAAAGATCTTCATAACCATCTGCATGCGCGCCACTCCCCGGATTACACTACATCATTGCTACAGTGCTGAAACTGATTTGAGATCAGCTGATGATTTCACCAGCGAAGATGTTTGTTGCACCCAGATAAACACTCAGTCCACCCCGATTGTTCAGTGGCGTTACAAAGTGATGCCTCTTTTACCTCATAAACAATCTCTGGCTGCGTGCAGCCGGCGGGGTTGTGCTGAAGTCCGCCTCCCCACTACTTTAACCGGATAAAGTGATGATCAGCAGCGGCTTAAAACAGGAAGCTGCATTTGAGCTTTGCTAATATGAGTGTCAGAGGAGTCGCTCGCGCTGCTGTGTCCAGACAGGTGATAACACAGGATGTTGCTGAGGTCGGTCGACACTGTAAGTTCACCCACTGTTCTACTTTGTCTTCCAGTTTTAATGGTGGTGGACAAGTCAGCCTGATTTTTTTTCATATTCAGCCTTGAAAACTACAGCTGTTAAAGGATAAGTTCTACTTCAAGTCAAGTCAAAGTTTATCTAGCACTTTAAGACGACGGCACGTTGGCCACAGTGCTTCACAATTAAAATAAAAC